TTTTCGGTGCACATGCGCTTCAACATTAATTTTAAGGTGCCGTTGAATTTTTCCACCAAGCCATTCGCCATAGGGTGATATGGGGTGGTGTGGAGCTGGCGCACGGAAAGGAGCCGCGCTACTTCCTTCATTAGGTCCGATGTGAAGTTCGTGCCACGGTCGCTCAGTACCTCGAGGGGTACGCCAAACCGGGAGAACATCTCGACCAGGACTTCGGCCACTCGCTCAGTTTTGATACTCGGGAGCGCCACTGCGTCTGGATACCGGGTGGCATAATCCATCAAAGTCAAAATGTATCGGTTCCCATGCTTTGAGGGCGGGTGAATCGGTCCCACTATATCGATCGCCACTCGTTTGAACGGGGTGTCGATTATCGGTGCCCTCCCCAGTGGAACATGAGGTACACGGCCCTTTGGTACGGTGCGCTGACAAATGTCACATGAGTGGACGAACCTTTTTACGTCAGCTGTGATGCCTGGCCAAAAGAACTCCGAGATCCGGGCCTTGGTTTTCTGCGTGCCCAAGTGTCCTGCCATGATACCTTGGTGTGCTGTTTTAAGCACAGCTTCTCGGTGACAGTGTGGAACGACTAATTGGCGTACAAGCCGTCCGTTAGCCTCTGTGTACTGTCGGTATAGCAGTCCCTGTTCTTGTTTATACTCGATGCTTCCCTTCTCATTTCGGCATGTTGGCTTCCTGCCGATCTTCTCAAAACACTGAGTGTCGCATCTCCCCTCTGCTCGCAGCCATAGTTATCTCCCGGCAATCCCGCCGTGGTCCCAGGCGTACGAAGCTTGGCAAATTTTTCCGGCTGTGCATGTGCTTGGGAACGGGTGATAGCTGCTGCTACAGGCTCTTCCCTTAACTCCTTTGTCGAGACAGGTTTTTCAGTCTCCTTTCTGGGATTATTAGGAGGTCTTACGCCATCGATATTGCCCAGAATGAGGTCATACAGTGGATCTTGCAGGCATAGTTCTGTCAGATTTCCAGTAAAGTAGGGGGTGTCAACCGCAATCCGTGCTTCGGGCAGCATCCTCGCTGTTCCATCAACCAAGTAGACGAGTCTGCTTGTACCTGTCAGCTCGTCTTCCTTCACCAACTTCCTCCGCACGATTACTGTGTTGCACCCCGTATCCCGCAACACTGATATGTCTGTGCCTCGGAGGGTCCCTGTGGCCACTGGTAGGTTCTCAGTCAGTTTTTTCGGCGGTGTCATCCTTACAGCGTTGACGACGGGAACTTTTTCGTCATTCCTAAGCTCGATATACCCGTCGCATATGGGATCCTCGCGCGTTTCCCTTGGTGCGTAGAAGCAGGACACCTGGAGTGAGTTATTTGCTCCTGACCGGCAGTCGTGTGCCCTATGTCCTTTTTTCCCACACTTAAAGCAGACGATGGCTACATTAGCGGCAGGTCTGTTGCAACACAAGTGCGGCGGGTGATTCCCACGATTGCAAATATAGCACCGTGGTAGTGGTGAGTGGCTGTTGCCTCCTTTCTCGTATTTCCCTTTCTGGTCCGTTATGGGACTATCTTCCTTTGTTTTCGCTAGGCTTGCTCCACCTTGAGCTTTCAAAAACTGGTCTGCCAGCTCAAGCATGTCTCCCAGGGATTCCGCCCTCCTTTCTTTTAAATATAATGCCAGGTTCGAACCACATCCATCCAAAAACCTCTCTCTAATCAACAATGTGCAGAGGGACTCGAATTCTTTCTCAGTTTTGGACAGCTCAACCCATCTATCGAAGTAATGTCTTAAGCGAGCCGTGTACTGTGTTGCTGTTTCACCCCCTACTGGCCTCTCCTTATTAAACTTGTCTCGGAACCCATCCACCGTGAAGCAAAAGTGCTTCAGGAGGGCGGTTTTAACCTTGGTGTAGTCCGCTGCATCTGTAGGTGGTAGCCTGCCATAAACACTTAGCGCCTCTCCTGTAAGACATGTCGAAAGCGCCGTCGCCCATTGGCTTTCAGGCCACTTTTGCCCTCTGGCGATGCTCTCAAACCGGTGTATAAACGCATCTAAGTCGTCCCTTCCTTCGTCAAAGGTGACGAGCAGTCTACCTGCGTGTATTCTCAAACTCGGCTCCTCCCCGGCATCGCCGTGCTCACTGCTGGATCGGCTCACACTGCTATTCTCACTGAGGCGAATCCTTAATTGCAGTAACTGTACTTCCCGTTCTCCGGCTTCCCTTGCTGCTTCTCGTTCTTTCTCCCTTTCTTCGCGCTCTCTCTCCTTTTCTTCGCGTTCTCTCTTCCTTTCTTTTTCCTTTTCCTCCCGGGCCAATGCCCGCTCTTCTCTGGCTAACGCCTGCACCTGTTCCTGCTGCTCCTTAACCCATTGTCTCAGTTCGGCGCCCTCGAGGCCTAACTGTTTACCGTGCGTGATCCACTTATACAAATCCATACACTCCATACTGCAAATTGTCACTATAATGCCTCTATAAAAACAGCACAATCTTATGCAAGATGCAACCGCTTCAACTGTGCGGCTCTATAACCACGCTGTCCGCACAATTCTCGTTCACCCCTCACTGTCTTACTCTTGTACGGAACGTCCTCGCGCAGACGCCAGTTTTGTTACAAGCTGCCAGTCTAGCGTCGCCAGTGCGAAGCCGGTGACGGGAACGACAGACAGCAGGTTGGTTCGTTCCGTACGCAAGCAGAGACGTGAGAAAACAAAACAAACTTTACTCTAGTGATATTGCAGCACACGGGATCTAGTACAACACTTCATTACAACTAACAAAATACATCAACACTTGATACAACTAAAAAACATATAAAAACGATAAATCAGCTTACGCGAGAGAACTATTACAAACTACACAAACTAACAACTATAGAACTAAGGAGGAGAAAGTTCGAAGATGTAAACAGGTGAAGGCATACGTGTGATGACCGGCAGCGTTGCGTCCCCGACGATCGGATGCGACAAGGCGAAGAGAGTTCTGGCACGACTGCGATGTCTGCGGTGTTGCAACGCTGGTGGCTCCGGGAGGCTAGTGCTTCAGCATGTGGTGTTGCAACGCTAGTGGCTCCGGGAGGCTAGTGCTTGCAGGTGACTTCGAGCAGGTTGAGCCAACTCGAGGCGAAGTCCCGATGTCTACGTTGCTGACGTTAATATCGCACCACAACTAGACGAACGGCTAAGTTTAGGTGGCCAGCCGATACAGAGCCACACTAAAAACTTCTAGAAGAGATGCTTGTTGATCTGTTTCTACACCATGTTGGTCAGCGACTAGTCTGTCTAGCAGGTCAAAATCCTGCGCTTAAATCCCCCTCGTGTCTCCTCGCTCTCTTCCTTGGGGACAAGAGATCTCTACATGGGTCCAATAATGCGCGTTGCCTTGATGGAAACTCCGCCCCAAAAATATATTGACCCCACCCCTTTTTAATTAGGAGAGGGCCCTCATCTAGCGAGAGTGACAGCCTGTTGGGATGTTGTCATACGGCTTGGCCACCAGAGGTTTTCCCATGGTTTCCCCCGTGGGATTCCACCGTTGGGAAACGGTCAGACTGTTTGGCTCTCAGCTGATGCATCCTGTAGTCTAATCCTTGTTCGGGGTACATCGCGGCCTTCCACGACCTTGCAGACACTGCCGCAGTTACAAAAGGATCAAACGTCGGCGCCGACGTTCTAAGAAGAGCGCCCCATTCTGCACTTCTCGGCTCCCTTTCATGCGCCCACCGTTCTCACGGTCAGTGGGAGAGTACGGCGCCCGTTAATTGCCGTGACGCGGGGCCGCCAAAAATGGCCGTCCGTGACACACTCTAAAGTAGTAAAATCGGGTGTTGTAATTAACCTTCTCACTTCAGCTGTTGCAAAATCTCGTTACTTCAGAGTAGCCTGTATTGTTTCAATATGAATAATTAGTTTACAAAAGGCAGGCTTTTAGACTAATATTGGGATGTTCGCTGCTCAGAGGGTATTGAGAATGAAGAAGGGAACACGATTCCCTTCAAAATATGCATAAAAACTATAACAATTTGCGATAGTCTCGTATGTGCATGAGTTTTCGCATAGGCGAAAACCTGTGCACATACGAAATTTTGAAAATATTTAATCTCGATGTTGTTTTTTTCTGCCAGTGGAAAATTGGTGCAGGTGTGTTCCAGAATTGATTTGAAAAAACAAAAACAAAATGAAGGCAGGCCTTATGAAGAATGGCTGGGGTGTTAAACATGTCAGTCATTTCACTAGTTGTTCCATTGAATGTAGTAATCTTATCTAACGGTCTTGTGACAGGGTATTTAGCGGGCAAACTGGGCACTGCCTGAATGATCGCCTGCCAAAACACTATAATGCGCTGAAGTCGGCCCGGGCTTCCATTTGTGTGCCCATTGCACAAACTGTGGTTTCGTTTTTGAATTTAAGCGCACATCTGTATTATACATCTATTGGGACCCAAAAATGAGAAAGATTGCAAAAGCCTTTTTCATAAAGGAAGAATGTTCATAGTTGCGTCAGCTCTCTCTCTATATTCTTTTAGGATGTGAAATTTCGATTCTGGACACTTGATTATAGTGGAACCTTCCCTCTTGTTTTTTTCCTTTTCCCTTTGTGTTTTTCTGGCATATGTATCTTTTGGTGAATAAATCAAGTTTGGGTCTATGCTAATTTGTCTTCTCCTTTTGTGTCAGATTAGTTAGCGCTGCGAATATTGCAGTATGCTCCTATTGGGTGATTGCTCCCTCTTGTCCTCTCGTGCTTTTTGTTGTCTCTTCCCCCGTTCTGACAGAACGCTTACAAGATGCCCCACTTGATGTCAACTGGTTTAATATAGTCCCCTGTCATGCAAGCTCTTTGGGCCTCCATTCTGTTGTCATTGTGGTAGAGGGCCTCTGAGCATTGTTTTTGTTTACTGCAGATGATTTTGGAGAATGTTTGTTTCTAAAGTTATCCTAGTGGTGAGTGCAAAAAAAGAAATGTTGGTGTCCCCCCCCCCCCCCCCCCCGATTCTCAAATATCTGCAATGTCTTAACCGACCCCCGGTTGAACGCAGGTGACAAGCTTGGCCGAGTGGTGCACATAATCCAGTCGCGGGAGCCGTCCCTGCGCGACTCCAACCCGGACGAGATCGAAATCGACTTTGAGACGCTGAAGCCGTCGACGCTGCGCGAGTTGGAGTCGTATGTGGCTTCGTGTCTGCGCAAGAAGCCCCGCAAGCCTTACTCGTCCAAGAGCAAGCTGGCTGCCACAGCAGTTGGCAAGAGCAAGGAGGAGCAGGTGCGGGAGAAGAAGCAGGAGCTGGAGAAGCGACTGCAGGACGTCAGCGGCCAGCTGGGCGCCACCCCAAAGAAGCCGCTCAAGAAAGGTTGGTCTCTCGCGCTCGTCGAGCCCAGTGTGGCCAACTGAGCAGGTGCCTCTCTCTCTCTCTGCAGATGCCGAGAACTCGCACGTGGATGTGGTTGGGGGACCGAGCAGGCTGAGCGCCAGCAGCTCCAGCTCGTCGGACAGCGACAGTTCGAGCTCCTCGTCCACAAGCAGCTCCTCGGACAGCTCGGACTCGGAGTCAGGTTAGGCTCAGCCCAGCGGGGGGGGCACAGCCCCTCGTGCTCGGCCCATCTGCTGAGCCCATCACCGCGGCACCATCCGGCCAGGGAACAAACCCCACTAGGGGGGAGAGAGGGAAGGGGGTGGTGTATTTATTTCGAGCAACAGCAGCATCATCTGTACATAGGCCATTGCTGTTCCCATCCCTGGGTTTTTCAGAGTAGCGCACAAACATTTGTCTGCTTTTAAAGCGGTGTGGGGGGGGGGGGAATCGGTAGTGGAGTTCACCCTTCACAAAGTTGTCACATATAGAGAGAGCCAGAAGAGTCCTTTGCAGCCCCACCAGACACGGTTGGTGCACATCTATAGCCCATGAGTGCAGTGTTCCTTGAGGCCAGCCTCTTAAGTGGTGAGCAGTGCAAGCTATTCGGTTAGTGTTTGTCATTATTTATTTCATACTTGTCTCGGCAGCGCGCGTAGGGAGGAGCCATCATATTTCTGGGTGGCCAGCGTTCTGTCCGAACAAAGCAGAGGCCCGGTGGTGGCTCCTGTTTGAGACAAAGCTGGCGCGATTGTTGTAGCACGTGCACTCTGTGGCTAGGGGTGTGTACGTCCGTGCCCGAGTCTTTTGACTGGCTCCTCTCTGCGCATTGTTCGTGTCTGTACTTCAGATGTAATTTGTTTTGCACATCATTGTACTCTGCTGTACATTTAGGGCCGTTTTTAGTTAACTTGCTGTGTTGTAGCGAATCGTACAGGCAGCGTTCCCCATGAGTTTGGCTTTTTAAAAGCGTGGCATATGGTGCAATGATTTTATTTTGCTTCTCTGGTCGTAAATGCATTTGATCGTCTCGTACCATGTGTTGTGTATGCATTCGAATGATGAGCACTCTGGGACCTTGTCTATTGGTGTACTTTTTTATAAGGCCAAGTTCGTTCATTGTACATATTATTATATTGCGGGCCTGTGCATGGCTGCCATGAATCATCTTGGTTTAAGACGTCCTTGCATTGTTCTTAAGGCTGTACATTATTGCGACAGAGCAAAAATCATCCACAAATTCATGTGTGAGTGGGTCTACACAGTTGTGTTCAATAAAGTGTGCATGGTTGAGCCCTGGAAGAGCATTGAATAAAAGATGGAACCTGCAGAGTTGTGGTTTTGTTGATGGCAGTGCCTGCTGCTGCGATACACGACAAGGCTGGTCTGATAGAACACTGCACTTGTTTGGGCAAATAGGTGTGTCCCCCCCTCCCTTCCCCTCCTCTTGTTTTGTGCTTAAGGGTGTGTCTGCTTGCATTCTGCTGCTCAAGGGCCGCAAAGGAACTCTTGTGGTGCCGCCATAAAAGGCAAGTAATTTAAGGATGCTGCTTCATTAGTCCCTTCTTTTTTGATAGGCCATTTAATTACTTGCGGTGGAAAGAGGGCGATGAAGCACTGTATGCTTCTTAGATGCACTGTAGGGCATATGGGGTCCTTTCAACACTACACCCTGTAACCATCAAATACAGTGGAACTTCGATTATATGTCCCCCAGTTACGCGACGACTCGCATCTTGCGACTCGGCGGTGTGGTCCCGGCAAAATCCCCATAGAAATAATGTACTGAAACCCTTGGTTATACAATGCAGTTTTTTGCCGACCCTGTATTTCGAGACGACTTTCAGATACTGTTGCAGATACTGTTTCAGATTTCTAACAACTTTCAGAATCGGGGTGTCGAGTTTATGGCCTTGGAAATCAGCCGCTGTGAAAATTTCTGGAATCTAATCAAAGGTGCATAGAGTTGGAGATTTGTTGCAGTCTGTAATTTTTCTCATCCTTAGTGCGCTGAAGCTGAGCTGGGAGAGATGGCACGGGGTCGTGACCGTGAGCACTCCCCCCCCTTTTAATGTGAGGTTAATTTGCGATTGCAGCTATGCTTCGATAAACTATGCCACCCACGATGCTAAAATCTGCCAATGGGTGTGAATTAAGGTAATGGATCATTTGTTGAGTAAAGAGGGAGCAATTTCTCGCAGACTTTAAAAGTTCGTTGTGAATTTCAGGCTGCGAGCTGCGCTATATTATTTGGCTTGTGTGTTTCTGGGAGCCTCGACTGTTGATCTGCTGAGTTTTCTGACCACGCTGAAAGTGGTGCAAGGTCCCTTAGAGCACCCCTTAAACAGTCGTTGAAAATATGCGTGCGTTCAAAACTTCATTAGTATAGAGATCTGAAAACCATCTGTAGGACCTTCAGAAGTAAGACTAGCACCACCTTTTAGGCAAAATATTCATGTTGCTGTGGTGACTGATTTCTCATTTTAATTTCATGCAGCTTCTGCTTGAAATTCTGACCATTCATTCATGTGGCCAGATACTGGTCTCTATTTGGCAATTCTCCGCCGAATTCCATCATTTTGGTTCCTGGTTTTCTTTATTCGGAACTAGAGTAAGGAAAATAATTTCATGTTCCAAGTGCACACTTGCTAGTCTATATCTCTGCTTTTATACTGAACTTAAGTGAAGCAAATTTATTTCTGAAAATGAATTTTTTGGAATATCGTAACAGTCATAGGGTTTAGAACGGGAAATTGAACGCTTTTGGCTTTGTGCTACAAACAGGTGATTGCAAATTTTTCTTTTGTATAAATTTTGTGTTCCTAGTGCAGACTTGGCAGGGTATGTGGCAATTCCATTCTAGTCTTGAGCATGTGTTGGCACTTTGCTCTGTTGCAAAGAAACCTGAACATGTGAAATGTCGGTAGTCTCAGGAAAATGACGAATGAGTAGACGAAACTGTTCGATTTTGGTGGTTTATACTTTTGAGCTCCATGACCATGTTTGACTTATGTTGAGGGCAAAAGTTTCTTTGGTACGGGTGTACAAAGCCGCTGCCGCAACAGGCTTGCATTCCCCTGTGACACTGGCTCAGGAGTCATTTGGCCATGCGAATGCCCCTACTATGGGTCGATCTGAAAACACACGCAAAAAGAGCAAGGCGATTAATGTAAGCAACATTTATTTGTTTAGTCTCTGAGCATTTCCTCGTGCTGTTGGTGTGCACTGTCTTTCACTGTTTAGCCTGCTGGGCAGAAAACCCCTTCATGGCACCGTGTACATGCCCCCCTTAAAGGTCTTAAATTCACTTAAGTTCACACCACTGAAGGAGCCATGTGTTGCGTGTAGCCTTCAGAGTCCAGATTTTATTATGCGCATGCTTTGTTGGGCCATGGCTGCACTTCACGTATGCTGCTGCAGGTGAATAACTCTAGTAGACTCGCTCGGATCAAGCCGCGAGTCTGAGTCCAGGCGAGTGCGGTTGAAGAAAATTTTCGGGAGTACGAGTCAAGTCAGTTCCGGCTCAGGAAAATTTTGGAGAGTCTTGAGTGAGTTCTTTCTTTTGCTGACTTAAAGTCCTATCTAGTCATCTTCGGTATTACTATTAGCCTTATTTGAATTATAGTAACATTGACTGACCGGTATTCCAAAGCCATGTCGTTCATACGCTGTTTCAATGTTTGTTGATCAGAGGTAGAAACAACGTTGGGGGGGGGGGGGGATGAGTGTGTCTTGACTTGCCCCCCCACCAATTCTTTGAAGGAAGTTCATACATATACTTCATGCTGTCATCTCTTTCAAGAAAAATTGCTCGTTTGCTGTTTTTATTGATACAATGTCAAACGGTGCCAAGAGCAGCACTGATTGCATGAGATACTGGTGTTAAAAACATTGACACCAAGGTCGCAGAAGCTAATTTTAGGCTAACAGACTCTCGCGTCGACTCGCTCAGACTCAAATTGAGTCTTGAGTTCGGGTGAGTAGAATTTTGGCGAGCTTAAGTGAATCCGGTTGAGGAAAAGCTTCGTGAGCGCGAGTCCGAGTTAGTCAAAAGTTCAAAATACATTTCATGGGTGAGCTTTTTCAAGTTTGGCCGACCGATGTGCTGCAGTGATGAGCTCTGGTTGATATCTTCAAGGTCTGCCCATCAATGGTGTTCACTGAGGACGGTCTGTTGCAATAAGAGGGTTGGGGGGGGGGGGGGGGGGGGGGGGGCATGAGGGTCTTAAAATGGCAAGGAATTATAAAAAAAAATGACTTTCAGAAGCCACAAGTCAAGATATTTGTAATCCAAATTATGTACTGGGAAAATGTCATGTTATGGCATAAAACTCTTTCCTTTTTTTTACAGACCTTATAGATTTAACTGAAATCTTTTTATTGAAAGGCTATTTTTTTGTTTCTTGTTTCTGAATTGAATCTGTCTTACAGAAGTTTTGAGAAAGTTTTTGTGAATATATTTTAAAATATTCAATATCCGTTCTGCAATGTTTGAACTGCAGGCTAAAACTTTTCATTTTTTCTCAAAACATTGTTGGAATTTATTTATTTCACTATCAGCTAAATACTGGAAGCTCATTTTTGCCTTCCAATCTTAAGAATTCTGATCATAAAAATAGCTGTTTTGATATCCAGCTTGCTTTAGCCCTTGGATTGGACCTTTTAGAAGAACCACGCAAAATATGAAAATTAACTTTTTGTATTGTAAGTTACCATATTGACCTGTAACAAATTATCCATCTACAATGTAAATTGGTCATTTCTTCCTTTCTAATTGGATATATGTGATCATTTTGCAGAATAATAATCTCGGTTTGATGATGCACGTGCATGGTAGTTAAGATGAGATAATATATTTTTATGACCCTCAAGCTCTCCCCCTTTAAGCAGTCCTTTGTAGTTGCTTTTGAACCGAACTCAATAAACATTTGCACACTTGTTCAATTTCTTCTCCAGATTCTAAAAATACATGTTTTTAGCTTCATGTAATTAACAAAACAATAGATTTATAGCAGGCAAATCCCTACTGCGCATAAATATGCAAATTATATTTTCATCAGTAGTGAAAAGTGCAATACTTGCTACAATGGAAGCTTTATGATTGGATCATTCGTTGTTACAATATAGTAAATTAATCTGCATGCCAATGCTGTAGTTGTAGAAATTAATTAATTTAAAATCGAAAGAATTAAAATTTGTGAT